CCAGAATTTACTGCCCATAGGCAATTTATGGTCCAGAATTTACTGCCCATAGGCAATTTATGGTCCAGCCTTAGTGAGCATAGGAATCCCAACCACTGGACGGCGCAGCGTGATCCACTAAATAAAGACACGCATTGGAGAGCACAAACTACACCCACCCCACTCCCCACAACGAAGGCCCAAGATGTTGATGACCTTTTTTTTTTTTTTTAAAACGAAAAAAAAAAGCCCAGGTCGTGGTAGAGGTTGGATACTAGACATATCACAGTCACCTTCAGTAGTCGGCGATATTATTCCTTACGGGACTCCCTCCCAACCTACCTCTATTTCACATGATCCTTGCCGCACCCACGATCCTTTTTTTTTTTTTTTTTTTTTTTTTGAAACTTCCTTCCAGTGATAGTGGTGCTGGTGGGGAGCATCACCTGCTGGGAAACGGGTCCAGCGTACCATATACAGAGAAACTTGGAGTATTAACAAGAAAGGCGGGAGACGATCCTACGTTTGGTTTTTTAACATGGATGATGGATCACAGTATAAAGGATCAGGTACTGGGGCAGGATGATGAACATTCCGGTGAATCTGTTGTGTGTGATGTCGGCCAACCGATATAATGCACACGTTATTTGAGAGCCGAGACAACCTCTTCCGCTTTGTGCACGATTCACCACCATCGCACTAACACTCTTGTTGGTATTATAAAGCTTATAATCCTTGCTGGGGAGAGAGGCGATGACTCCTTGGAGAGCATACCCTGGCGAGTGCGAGGCCATTGCCATGCTGGCAAAGGGTTTGTGAGAGAACCTCCTAAGCTGGCATAAGATGGAAGCGCAGTGAGCTCGTGCACGAGATAAAAGTTGGGGGGAATTGTTGCGCTAGGACCGTCTAGGTGAGTCCAACGATAGGATCTAGAGCAGGTGGAGATACTGAAGGGTATCAGTGCGCTGATAGCCCCAAAACGTTGATTCTAGAGCACATGACCACGCGGATATTGATAGCCCCAAAACGTTGATTCTAGAGCACATAACCACGCGGGATATTGATAGCCCCAAAACGTTGATTCTAGAGCACATAACCACGCGGGATATTGGCCATAAACTCCGACTTACGGCTGAAAAGAAAAAAAAAACCTCCGACATACGGCTAGAGGCCAGCATTTCAAGATGATTCGAAAGCCTGCGCTCGTACCAGCCTGCTAACGACCCCCGTATATTGTACAAGGACCGGCATGAAGGACTGCTTCAATTGTTGAATGGATGTGTGTAGGTACATCATTCAAAACTCAAAATTCCGTAACCCGCTCCCCCCCCCCCTCCCCCCCCCCCCCCCCCCCCCGCCGTGGGCCCTGCTCATTGGGGGATTCCCCGTCGCGTGTAAAGCCCCCTAACATTTCTTATTTTCTTTTCTGGGGGTATTCTTTATCGACCAGTGTTGAGCCGCTGGCCATCTACAGTTGGCGGTTGTGCGTGGATTCACACCACACTGCACCTTGAAACAAAAAAAGCAATTTCTTTCTCTTTAGGCCACCAGGCTCTCCTTTTGTTCTTTTTTTTTTTAACATCAATACTCACAAAGAGGTATTAAGAGCAGCCACCATAAGCGGGCCAAAAAAAAAAATTCATGACGTGCACACTCACTACATTGGTGTGGCGGGAGGGGCACCCGTTGGAAAACAGGTCCAGCAGGTGTGCCCCTCCCATGCGATAACCAACATTTCAGTTGACCTCTTTAGAAAATATTTATTGATTTATTGCCCTCCCATAAAGAGGGGATTAAACCCCACCAGTACTTCCTAAAGTCATGCCCGTTAACGCTACGCGATTTTGGGAAACGTATGGGCCACTACTGGAGCGCCCAAATTTATCCAACTAAAAAGTAGTAAAAACGTTTCTACTCTATTTTTGTTTTTTTCCGCGGCCAATAGCTGGCCCAAGTACTGTCGGTCTAACTGTCCGAGGTCAATTGCCAAACCGATCCACCGGAGGGTACTAAGAGTAGAAAGAACAGTAGCTCCACGTTTTTAGGCCCTGTTAATGCGGTGGCTGAATTGGTGCGGCCGCGCAGGTCCATATATGCATTTGCCTCAGAGTCTATCCAGAGGGGCCCTAAGACCCCCTGGGGTACTGGTGGTTTAAGAACAGCCTTCCTGTTGGGCTAGTTGTGTTTAAAATGAGACAAAAAGTTTGTGCTGGTGGTCAAACGCCCATTTCCAAGGCAAACCAGACCCTCGATTGCCAGGACACCCTTCCTTCCTTTTTGTCCCTTTCCTCTCCAACCCACCTCCTTTTCACCTACCTACTTGTATTCTCGCACTAACCAAAAGCATTGTACCCTAGCAAGACAGACATCGACCCTCATTTCCCGCCGACTACTACCCTTCTCCTCGTCGCCATGACAGCAAAGGCGGAACCGACTGAAACACAAAATGGGCAGAGCTACTGGTGGTTTGACAAATAGGAAATGCAACGATTTTATACACATCTCTCACCGGGATAATTTGTCGATACGGCCGTCCCACGCGAAAACCTTTTCACATTTTTTCACGCCCAGAGTTTGCCTGTTCGGTAGAAAGGGCCGTCGGATGTAAACAACAACGACTGGCGGCCAGGATTGGGTTCCGACCACTCTGCCGCTTCCTACCGGATTACGATCTTGATGCTGCATTTTGCACCAGATTCATTTTCCAGTAGGCCCTTTTCGCCAAACGGTCAAAGTTCAAGCCCTTTTCGCTAAACCAGAAAAGATTTTCCGTGGGCCGTATCTAAGTAACAATTATCCCCCTCGCGCCACCCAAAAAAAAAAAAGAAAAGAAG